AAGATGCGGAATTTGTAGGACCCATGAGGATGTGGAGTGTGCAGGATCCATGAGCAGGACAAGGAGTTTGCAGGATCTGTGAGGAAGGTGTGGAGTTTGCAGGATCCATGGGCAAGATGCGGAATTTGTAGGACCCATGAGGATGTGGAGTTCCCTCTGGGGGAAGAACCTTTTCCAGATATCCAACCCAAACCTGCCCTGTCCCAGCTCCAGCCATTCCCACGGGTCCTATCCCTGATCACCACAGAGAAGGGAGTCCTTGGAAGCCTGTGGGGAGGAGAGCACATCAGGACATCTCTTCCCAGGGCTGCCCTGCTGGCTGTCACACCCCCCTGCCACCCCCTCCATCCCCAAATCCACTTTCCGAGCTGCCTGTGGTCACCCTCTCCTGGGTTTGGCCCCTTTCCCGGCTCCGGGATCAGCCGGATCCGCAGCTGCCCCTCAGCAGCTGGGCCTCCTACCCGGAATCCGGGGGGGGTCTGGGGGCTGTGCTTTCCTTCTGGATCCTTCTGGATCCATCCAAACCCCTTCCCAGCACTGGTGCAGAGGGTTCTGAGGAGCTGTTCTGGCTGGGGGTGGAGCAGATTCCCTGCTGGGAGGTGACTTTCCCTGGTGGCTTTCCCTGCTTCCAAGTGAGACCTCCTTGCTCCAGGTGGAAGAGCCTTTGGAGAGGGGGTTTGTGCTTGGAGGAGCTGGATGGTGCCTTTTCCCAGGGGATTCAGTACTGGCTGCTGCTCCAGGAGCTAAAATAGCCCGTGTGGGTGCTGTGGTGAGCCTGGAGAACCATCCCCTCCCTGCCAGGCAGCCCCAAATCCATCTATATTTAAGCTGGAAGGCACTTGGGATGGGCAACACGTGGCAGCAGGAGGTTTATTTATGCTCCTGCCAACACCCAAAATGATCCTTTTGGGGGGGGTGGTGTGTGTGAAATCGCAGCCATGTGATTTTGGGGGGGTTCAGGAATCACTGGGGGGCTCCAGGGCAGGTCCTGGAGTATTTCCTGGCATCTGCTCTGCCTCCAGCTCCAGCCAGCCCGAAACAAGGAGGCTCCTGTTCCTGGAGCAGGGGGAAGGAGGGGAGAGGGAGGGTGGTCGTGGCCGGGAGGCTTCGTGGGGAGGAACAACGGGGACAACCAGGCACAGCCCCAACCCGGCCCTTTTCGCTGCTGACATTCGTGGTTTTAGGCTCAGTTTAGCCCGTCCCGTCCCCACCCCGGCTCCTCCCGCCCTCCAGCAAAGATCCTGGAAATAAATGCGGCTTTGGGAACGCCGCCAGCCCCGCTCTGTGCGTCCAGGAGTCTGTGAGGAGGCAAAATCCAGGTCCATGAAATGACGGGTTGGAGTTTGGTGACACCCCCCACCCCCCCCTCCCTTCCCGAGGCTCCTTCGTCCCTTCCCTGGGGGCTGCTCCTGGTGCAGCAGGTGGGATGGATGCCACATTCCCCTCTTCCTGGAGGAGGGAGGTGGATCCAGGGGGTAAAAAGGAGGCTGGTGGTGGTGGCCCGCTGTGGGCGGGCTGGCACTGGCGCTGGCACGGCGCTGGGTGGGCTGGACCTTCCTCCCCACCCTCCCCTCCCCTCCCCTCTCCCATTGTTCAGGGCTCAACTCCCCGAGGGCTCCCGAGCTCCCAGCACACATGGAAGTGATTTTGGAGAGGCCTGGGATGGGAGGGGGTCGTGGGGACCCTGATTGCAAACAGCTCCCCCCTGGTCGTGCTGGCTGTGGTGGGATCCTGTCCTGGCATCCTCCTCCTCCTCCTCCTCCTCCTCCTCCTGCCCCTTCCCCCGGGATTGGGATGTGAAGGGAAGGTGCCAGAGCTGACCTTGGGCTTTTCCAGCCCCTCACAAATGGAAGTGGAGGTTGTATCCAGCATCCTGACCTGGGTGTCCCACTGGTTATCCAACCCTGAGGAATGGGAGTCTCACGTCCCCTCCCTTGGGACTCACCCAGCCTTTCCTGCTGCCCATGGTGTTCCTGCCTCTTTCCTTTCCCTTTGGAATTGCTTTTTCCCAAATGTGGTTTCTTGCTGCAGTGATTTTAAACTGCCAGAGGGCAGGGATAGGTGGGATGTTGGGATGAAATTCTTGGCTGTGAGGGTGGAGAGGCCCTGGCCCAGGTTGTCCAGAGAAGCTGTGGCTGCCCCTGGATCCCTGGAAGTGTCCAAGGTCAGGTTGGAGCAACCTGGGATAGTGGAAGGTGTCCCTGCCCGTGGCAAGGGGTGCAACTGGATGGTCTTTAATGTCCCTTCCATCCCAAACCATTCTGGGATCTTAAGGGAGCAGGAGAGCTCCTCACCTTCCCTCTGTGTCTCTCCTGGCGCCCCATCCCCGTCTGGGAAAGCACCTTGGCACTGGGGGAACATCCTTCCACCCTTTGCTTCCCCTCACACTGCAGGATCATTCCCTGGGGCCCTGGAGCAGCCAGTGTCTCCCTGGCCTGGGATGGGATGTGACCATTCCCTTCATTCCCTTCATCCTCACCGAGGAACTCGGATGCAAACTTGGAGCATCCCGTCCGGTCCCGGGATGGGATCCCGGAGCCTCGGGCCCCTCCCTGGGGAGCTCTGGATACACACTGGGCTCATGGCCCTGCTCCAGAGAAGGAAGGAGGGAGGAGAGGACTGCCTGTGGTTTGGGATGTGCTGCAGGTGCCGAGGACAGGACACGCTCCTGCCCATCTGCTTCCCACTGGGAAACCCTTTTCCCTGTGTGAGGTGTGGCAGGACTGAGCAACCCCTGCTGTGCTCCCTGTTTGCTTTGAAACAACCCCAACCCTGCCTGGATTGCCCTGCTTCCCTTGGCTCCCTGGGATGCTTTTCCAACGAGCAGCTGCAGCCAGAGGCTTGTCCTTGAGGTCTTGGATCCTGATCCCTGTGTGGATGTTGGACAAGGTGATGCAATTCCCAGGCTGTGCTGCTCAAACCTCGCTGGGATCCAGCTGTCTGGGGAGGACCCGGCTCAGCTGTGCTGCTCCAGCTGGAAAACCCATCTCCAAATCATCCCTGGAGCATCTCCTGGTAAGTCGGATCCCCGTTTTCCCCGGCACATCCGGGCCTGCCTGTGCTCATTTAGGAAATCAGGACTTGTGGGACCTGCCTGAGCAGATGGATTGGCTGGGATTTGGACGTGGATTTTTGGCTTAACCATTGATTTCCCGAGGAGCTCGGTGCTCCTTGAGCTTCCCAGCAGGAATGGAGGAGGAAGCCTGGGAGAGCAGGATGTCTGGGAGCTGTGGGAAGAGCAACTCAACCCCCTTGGCCTCGGTTCCCGTGGAAACATCCTGTGGTTTTCCTGATCAATGGAGGGAAAAAGTAAACCAGACTTGAGCTGGGCCACTCACGGACTGGGACATGAGCTGACATTCCAACCTCTCCCAGCCCAGCCCCTGGTGGGATTGGCTTTGCTGGGATGTCCTGGAGAGGGGCCACCACTTCCACATCCAGCCAGGGCTGAGGGAAGGTGGATCCTGCAGCCCCTGGCAAGTACTGGGGGATTCTTTTCATGGTTATTGGAGAAAGGAGGTGGAGGAGGAAGATTCCAGAGCCTGGGAATATGCTGGAGCTCAGGATTGTATTGGAACCTGTGAAGACTGCTGGATCCCAGAAGGATTATGGAGCTTGGAATGTGCTGGATCCCAGGAGGATGCTGAGCCTGGGGTGGTGGTGGAGCCCAGGATGACACTGGAAGTTGGGATGTTGGAGCTTGGAATGTGCTGGAACCTGGGGCAATGCTGGAGCCTGGGATGATGATGAAGTGTGGGATTATACTGGAGCTCAGCGGGAAGATACTGGAGCCCAGGAGGATGCTGGAGCCTGGGATGATACTGGAACCTGGGATGGTGCTGGAACCCAGGATGGTGCTGAATCCTTGGATAATGGAGCCCAGGATGATGCTGGAGCCCAGAATTATATTGGAACTTGGGGAGATGATGGATCTTGGAATTATGCTGGAGCCCAGGATGATGCTGAAACCCAGAAGGATGCTGGAGCCCGGGATGATGCTGGAGCCTGGAATGTTGTTGGAGCCCAGGACAGTGCTGGACCCAGGAGGATATTGGAACCTGGAATGATGTTGGAACCTGGAATGATGTTGGAGCCGAGGACAGTGCTGGACCCAGGAGGATATTGGAACCTGGGATGATGATGGAGCTTGGAATGATGCTGGAGCCCAGGAAGAATCTAATCCCTGCTCATTCCTGGTGTGCAGCATCTTGGCAGGCCCTGCTCCCTGCCAGGCTCAAGGCAAAATTACCAGTGTTTAACTGATTAATTAATTAATTAATTAATTAATTAATCCACTTTCCTGGCCTCAGAGCTGGGTGATTTGGCTCCTGACTGGCACAAGTGCTGCTCCCATTCCCATTCTCCCTCTTTTTGCTGCTCTGGATCTCTCCAGGGGCTGAGCTGGCCCCATCCCAGCTGGAATCGGGATCCATCCCCTCCCGGATTCCTCAGATTCCTCGGGGGAAACTGAGGCACCGGGAAGGGAAGCGCTTGTGGTGCATCACCTGGCAGGGATGGGACCCAGATCCCAGCGGCAGCCGTTGGTTTCCCAGCCTTTGCAATTGGGACAGGGAGCTGTAAGCGCCGGGATAACCCTGGACAAAGACATGTGCCTTTAAGACGGCAGCTGGGAAAAAGAGCTTTTTGCCAGGAAAGGCCCTTAAGTCGAGGCAGGGAGTAATTGCTGGGGAATTCAAAACCGGGAAGGAGCCGGCAGGGACTTTGGGGGGGAAAGAGGAGGAGGAGGAGGAGGAGGAGATGGAAAGGGCTGCGGGGAGCAGGCGTTGGGGAGATCAGAGAGGGAAAAAAAAAAAAAAGGGGAGGGCGAGAAGGGGGGGAAAGAAGGGAAACGGCAAGAAAAATGTCCAGACCATGTTTGGCCAGGGAGTGATGTTTGGATAAGATCATGTTCCAAAAATACAGCCCGTTCCCACCAGCGCCGAAGGAGGGGGGGGGTCCTGTGGCCCCCCCGGGTTCCTCCTGCGGCTCCACGCGGGGCCCCGCG